CACCCACCCACCTTGAGCTTCGGTGTTTTTTTTTTTTTTTTTTTGGATCAATCTCAATAATTTTTTTTTTTACATATTATTTTCGTCTTTTGTGATTTCATTTTCTTTAATAATTAATTACGTGTTATGTACACGTGGAGGCCCATGGTTTTTCCACGTGGATATTTTCGCATTTCCTTATTTTCCTATTGGCCTCCTCACGTGGGATTCTTTTGCATTTTTTCTTTTTTTCTTTTTTGTTGAATTAATTATTTAATTATTAATTAGTGGAGTTTTTTTTTTAAAGTGGTTTTATTACCAAACTAAGTGGCTATTAGATAATGATCAATAACGTTTGTTATTCTGGTTAGCTTTAAATTACGTATTCGGTCGCCTATTTTATTTTTAGTCTTTTAAATTTAATTATGTTCCAATATATTTTACAAAACTTTTTCAAAAATATTGTAATAAATTTTAATTATGTCTCCGTTAAATTTTTTATTTTTTTAAAAATTACAAAAATTAGAATCCTATTAAACAAAAAAAAAAAATCAATTTTATCTATTTTCACCCATTATATGTAAAATAATAACTCACTTAATATATTTTAAAAATTCTAATACCAAATAAATAAATAAATAAAAGATTCTCGAATAAAAAGCCAATTTCAAATCTTCTTTGAGAGATAGAAACTTCATCAATCATCACCCAATGAACTATTCGCTTGCATGCCACGACATGTAGAGCTATTGTGGCAAGCTTTGTAATTTTATGGGTCTCGAAAAGAGACGTTGGAATACATTGTTCCATATTTACAATTGACATAAACGAAAATAAGGACTTTATCTCAAAGATACGCTTTTAACGTGGGTTATCACAGTGAAAGTCGGATTAGGCCTTACCATCTTCAACTGATTCTACCGACAACCTTAATCCCTTAAAAGAGGTTACTTTAACACGGCTGCTTGAAGCTTATGATCGTACACAAGAAAGTAATAATAATTGCAACATAAAAATAAGAATTACCATATAAATGTAATATTTTTGTAGATTGCTTTTTTTTTTTTTTTCATGCAATAAAAAAATAGGAAAAAATGTTGCCTTCCAGGCTATATCACGTGAAAAACACGTGCTTTCTCTCTCCAATTCAATTTTAAAATTAATTAAGCACTCGAATCCCATAGGTTTACATAAGAACATGCATGTGAGAATATAAAATATTTAGATAATTTTCTATGCCCATCAATTTTAAATTTCATAAAATAATACTAATATCCAGAAAATGTCACAATTAACACTTAAATAATCCATATATAATATATATTATATGCTATTTTTTGGTCAAAATGTAGTATTTTAAATGCAACCAATAAATGATAATTATGAGGGCACACCATTTCTTTACGCTTTCAAGTACTCCTTAAATATATATATATATATTTAAAATAATATAATTTTGAACAATATATATCCAAAATATCAACAAATTTAGAGTCATTTATTGGGTTTTCTTTGAGAAATGATTGATCATAATGACCTATCTCATAGAGTGATGATTTAACTATAGTCATCTCTACAAAAGCCCACAAAAATGGATCAACAAAGTTACCTGACACTGTACAATTCTTTACACACTTCAGTTCATATTTGACAGCAAATTGGCCATGGCAATGTGGCAAAGATGAACCCTTCTAAACTTCGAAATATTGAGCTACCCTTATCAACTCCAATCTTCTGTCCTGTTATTATTTTCTTGCAAGATTGACCGGAAGGCAATAAGAAGGTCGAGTTTTTACGATGGGGTACTCTAAGGTCCTACATGACCGAGACTGAGATTTGAATGCATGGAACGATATGGTGAATTCGAATTTAATGTAACCATGAACTGATACCTGCAATATTCTTGAATTGCCAGACAGCTTCAAGAAGGAATCCCAGTTGATTTAGATAAGCAATGTTGCGCTTAAGCGTGGCTATAAGTCAGCTGTGATATCTGTTCCATCTTCTTCCATTAGCAAGTTTTATGTCCTACAGATGATAGTGGAAGTTAGATACCAAAGGAAGCAGTCACAATCAAAACCTTCCGATTTTAGTTTTGAAAAAAAAAAAATTGTCAAAGAAGCATATTACGATAAAAGATGCGATAGCTTTAGGAAAAAAAAATCAAAATGCTACGTCAGATGCATCAAGAAATCCTAAATCTTTTCAGAGAATTGTAACATGCTTTCCATGTTAGTAAAAGAAAGGACATAAAACGTTTTTCGTTTTATAAGAAGGATATAATAACATACTTCCCATGTTTTTTTTATAGCTGTATAACAATGCAATATAAAAAGAGTTCTCCACAAAGCTTATAGAGATGCTACAAAAAACTTGCATAGCTATGTTAAAATGCTATCAAACAATTTCATAGTTGTTTGGAAACTTAATGAAATACTTTTCATAGCCTAGTGAATCGCTATCAAGTTCAAACTATCTGGACTAAATTAGAGGGAAGTGTAGATCGTACCAGCATCACGCTTACTCAACAGCTAAGATTTTGGGAAGTACTCAATCAAAAGGCCATACACAAAAATGGGAGATGAGAGCCCAGAGAGCCAAGGGATCATAATTTAACTTTTTTTTTTTTTTTTTTTTTGAAAAGACACCATAAAGCCAAAGGGTAGCAGAAACAGCATTGATCCACAAACCCAAACCTCCGACATGGTTTCTGAAGTTAAGGCAAAAAAGGAGCTGGAGAAGGGAGTCCTCATATGATCGGGGAAACACCAACTTAACCCAAAAGTACTGAAAAAGCTTTGCCCAACAAGCTTTAGCGACTGGACATTGGAAAATAAATGTGGCCGTGACTCTTGGAGCTCTTTTTACACAATAAACACCAATTTGGAGAGTGGATATAGTCAGGCATTCTTCTTTGGATATTATCACAAGCGTTAAGTTTACCTTAAAGAAAGATCCAAAGAAATACCTTCAACTTTCTTAGGAATTTTGGACTTCCAGATGCAGTTGATAAACGCGGGCTAGTCTTACCATGCTTGGCTGATAAATTGATGGATTTTACAGAAAAGTGGCCACCATTTTTAGGAGGTGTTTGGATCATTTCTAGCTAATTATAGAAAATCAAACAATTAATATGCTACCAACCTTTTCACTGTGTACTTCCCATGCATATCAGGGTCAAAAGACCGACATATTAAGACTGGTGGTTGTGGAAATGTGCCAAGGACTGCAATAGAAGGAAAAAGCCACACAATATTATGACGGAATAACATCCATCAGAATAAATTGAACAAAACAAAAGAAAGAATAATACCCTCTTACTTAAATAGCTACTCTGTAGCATAATTTTGTTTCTTCATATCTTCAAAGCTGTAAGATGATCTCCAAGGTTGATTCAACATGTCAAAATTATAATACTACGCAAGAAAATATTTTTCTCTCTACTGTGAACAACAATAGGAGAATACCTAATGGCCTCCTCTTGGAATTTGGACATGAACCCAGGATTCTATAGCCAAAAAGCATGCCAAAACCAAAAAAACATGTTAACAAGTTATGAAGTGAAGTATCTCGATGTATTTTTGGTATTATATGCAAGTACATATAGAAGATACCATTTGTTAAAAAGTTGTGATTATCTAAGTCAGTGGTGATTTTGAGTTGTGCAAGCTCAAGTTTAACAAAGCAATACTGAACTTGATTCGATTAAATTCAATTTGAAGTTAGTGCTGGCTAAGAATAGTAACACTAAGGAACCAAAATAAGTAATCATATTGGATAATCAGATTAATTTAGAAGTTCGGGATTCTATTCTAGAGACTCCTTCCTTTTAGAAGCTCTGGTCTTTGGATCTTGAAAACGTTTATCACTTCTAAATTTCACCTCTTATTTTTACAAAAATATAATCAAACACCAAATAGATTTATTATTTTCTTTTAAAAAAATCTAAAGAATTGAACATAAAGCATATTCTAAAAAGTAACGTGCATCCATTTAGTTGCCATTTGCCAAAGATGAAAATGAAATGTAGGAAAAATTTAAGGAGAAAAAAGAAATCCAAAAACAATTTATTATTGTTATTCTTGAAAATTTAAAACGAAACCACGCAGTAAATTTTAGAAGCTTGTAAAATTAATAAACTTTATACACAAGATAAAAAGCAATAATGTACTTCAACATAAAAATGTGATTGGAACTTTTGCAAAAGTAAAGGTCACCGTAGAGCACATTTTCCAGG